GCAGACGTCGGCGTTCGTGCTGACGTCAGTGCTAGCGTCGGCGCTGGTGGTGTAGGCGCTGGCGTCGGTGCCAGCAAATGCGCAGACGCTGATGCTGGCGTCGGTGCTGGCGTTAGTGCCGGCGCTAGCGCCGGCTTAGCGCTGGCGCCGGCGCTGGCATTGAGGCTGGAGTCAGCGCCGGCGTCGGTGCCAGCGTAGGCGTCGACTTCGCGCTGGCGTCGGTGCCGGCGTAGGTGCTGGCGCTAATGCTGCTGGCATCAGTGCCAGCTTCGGTGCCGGCGTTGGCGCCGGCGTTGTTGCTGGCGGCAGCGCTGGCATCGGTGCTTGCGCAGGCACAGGCGTTGGTGCCGCCGTAGGCGCCGGCGTTGTAGCCGGCGCCGGTCGAACGAGCAACGCCAAGACTTTGCACTTGACTCAGGATCATGCTCGGGTGCCCCGTGATCACTCAGCTGTAGTAAACTTGGGGTTTGCGTTGGGTTGCAAGGTGCTTGTACGTTAGTTGTAAGGCAGTTGTAACGTAATCAACTTAGCGAAAGGTGTAAGATTCAGCAAATGACTTGATAAATCCGCTAGCAGTTGCATACCCCGAGTTCACTACGGCGCCCCTGTTTCTGACAGCAGCGGCGGGGGGCCCGGGGGCGGCATCGCGCCTCTTCCTGCCCGCGAACCGGTCGGCGCGGGCATCGATGAGCTGGTCGGCGCGGGAGGCGGTGAGCTGATCGGCGCGGAAGTCGGCGAGCTGGTCGGCCCGGGAGTCAGCGAGCCACCCGGCGGGGGGTTCGGCGAGCTGGTCGGCGCGGGAGTCAGCGACCCTGAAGCACTTCCTGTAGACGATGGCGGGGCCAGAATCGTCGCTCTCGCCCTCTGGGACCCACATCTGCTGGACGGCGCTCAGCAAGGAGAGGATGGCACAGCCGACTCACACGGAATACTTGCGCACGGGCGGGGCCGCGACCTTGATCTTCATTTCGACGGCGCCCAAGCGGCCAGCATCTCTGTCATGCCCCCCCGATCCCACGCAACATGGCGGAGCCGCCGGACAGGGCAATGTTGGCGCAGAGGCCTTCGCGGATGCCGACGTCGCACTTCACGATGGACTGCAAGGTGGTGTCGCGGTCACCGCTGGCCTCCTTGCCGACGAAGTGGGAAGCGGCAGCGCTGGCTGTCTGCGGCGATGATTCTACCGTCCAGAAATTCGTGCATCTCATCCCTGTCCGCCCTTTCCGCGGCGGCCTTCACCCCGGCGGCGTCGAAGCCGGGGGCGCCATAGCAGAGCCCCCCCATGATGTCGCGCACGTCGCCAGCAACATCCCGCTCAGCGGTCGCGAAGGAGTAGCCGCGTCCAATAAGGGTCTTCATCAGGAACTCCGCGGCGAGGTCGCCGCCGGCCTGGTCGAGGCGCAAGATGGCGCGCGGCAGGGCGCATCCCTCGTAGATGGGGCGCCGCGCCAGACAACAATGCTGGCGAGACCTCGCGTTATGTCACGAACCCGATGCTGGCGTCGGCGCCGGCGTCGGCGCTGGCGCGGGCGCCTGCGTTGGTGTCGGCGCAGGCGCCAGCGTCGGCGCTGGCGAAGGAGTCTTTTGCCTGGATACTCATAATCCCTGCAAGATGTTCCGATAATATCTCATGGTCAGCGGGCTCCGCCGATGGCATGGGGAAGAAGGGATAATGCTGTCAAGCATACACTCTGGACGCCCGAAATGGGCACGGAAAGAATGGGTACGATGCCCAACAGCAGTTTCTGTTCATTTTGGACAGGGCTCGCTGTCCGCGCCGCCGCGGCCCGTGTCCATTTGAGACAGAGGGCCGCCCGCCCAACAGCGGACGCTGTTGGTTTGGGACAACATTTGTTGCAACAGCATCATCAGCATCATCATCAGCATGAACGTCATCAGCATCATCACTATCCGAAGCAGCATCGTCATCCTCATCACAATCACCACCATCATCATCAGCAGCATCCTCGTCATCATCATCAGCATCATCATCAGCATCATCGTCAGCATCATAATCAGCATCATCAACAACATCATCAGCATCAGCTTCATCATCAGCAGCATCATCATCGGCATCAGCATCAGCTTCGTCGTCATAATCAGCATCACCATCATTATCATCAGCATCAGCAGCATCATCAACGTCATCATCAGCATCATCAGCATAAACATCGGCATCATCATCATCAGCAGCATTATCATCAGCATCATAATCACCATGAGCATCATCGTCAGCATTACCAGCATCAGCATCATCATCATCACCATCATCATCGTCGTCAGCATCATCAGCATGATCATCATCACCGTCATGATCAGCAGCAGCAGCATCATCAGCACCAGCATCATCATACTCAGCATCAATATCAGCATCATCAGAATCAGCATCATCATCAGCATCAGCAGCATCATCATCAGCATCATAAGCATCATCTTCATCATCACCATCCGCAGCATAATCGTCATCCTCATCACCATCACCACCACAAGCATCATCATCACCAGCAACGCCATCACAACCACCACCATCATCATCATCAGCAGCAGCAGCATCATGAGCATCATCAGCATCATCCTGCACCTCCTCCTATTCATCCTCCTCCTCCTCATCATCATCATCAGCACCCTCCTCCTTATCCGCATACGCCTCATCCGCCTCCTCCTCCTCCTCATCCTCCACCTGCTCCTCCTCCTCCGCCTCCGCCTCCGCCTCCGCCACCGCCAGACTCCCTCCTCCGTCCTCCCTCTTCCCTCCTCCCTCCTCCCTCCTCCCTCCACCATCCTCCCTCCTCTCTCCTCCCTCCTCCCTCCTCCCTCCCCCACTCCCACCTCTTCCCTTCTCCCTCCGCCCTCCTCCCTCCTTCCTGCTCCCTCCTCCCTCCCTCCTCCTTCCTCCCTCCTCCCTCCTCCCTCATCCCGCCTCCCGCGCCCCTTTTCCCTCCACCATCCTCCCTCTTCCCTCCTCGCTCCTCCTTCCCCCCTCCCCCCTCCTCCCTTCTTCCTCCTCCCTCCTCCATCCCGTTCTACCTCCTCCCTCCTCCCTCATCCCGCATCCCTCCTCCATCCTCCCTCCTTCCTCCTCCCTCCTCTCTCCTCCCTCTTCCCTCCTCCCTCCCCCCTCCTCCCTCCTCCCATATCATCCTCCTCCTCTTCCTCGTCCTCCTTCTCCTCATCCTCATCCTCTTCTCTTTCGTAGTAGTAGTGTTCTGATGATATGTATGAGTATGCATCGGCGTTGTATCACGATTAGTTGCATTAGTATTCGAATTCGCATTGACAGTAGCATTCGTATTAATACTAAGAATATGTATAATAATAATTCGTGGCACCATGCTCATTCATATTAATACTATTACTTCTCGCCGTGTAATTAACATGATTCGTCCGATCCGTAGATTTATTAGTCCCAATAATACTATTAGTAGTTTTATTGTTAAAAGTATTATTAGTCTGCTCATTATTATTACGTTGTTTCGTCTCATTAGTACGGTTAGTATTGGTAGTATTAGTAATGTGTTCCGTCTCTCCTTGTATCAGTAACAGTGTTCGCATTGTTCCCCGTAGCCTTAGTACTAGCATTAGTACTCGCCTTATTTTATGATTATTCTTAGCAGTATTAGTATATTTCGTTGCATGTATCATAGTGTTCTTATTGGTATTCGTATTATTCGTATCAGTATTCGTCGTCCTCCTCCTCCTCCTCCACCCCCTCCTCCACCTCATCCTCATCCTCATCATCATCAGTATCATCAGCATCATCATCAGCATCGTCAGCGTCATCATCAGCATCCTGAGCATCATCATCAGCATCATCATCAGCATCATCAGCATTACCAGCATGAGCATCAGCATCAGCGTCATCATCGTCAACAGCATCCTCTTCAGCAGCATCATCAGTATCATCATCATCATCATCATCATCATCACCATCGCCAGCACCATCACCAGTAGCATCAGCATCAGCATCATCATCGTCAGCATCATCAGCAGCAGCATCCGCATCATCAGCATCATCATCATCAGCAGCAGCATCACCCTCATCACAGCATCATCCTGTACATCAGCATCATCAGCATCATCGGCATCAGGATCATCATCAGCATCAGCATCATCATCATCCTCATCATCAGCATCATCATCACCTTCATCATCATCATCAGCAGCAGCAGCAGCAACATCAGCATCATCATCATCATCATCATAATCATCATCAGCATCATCATCATCAGCATCATCATCATCAGCATCATCATCATCAGCAGCAGCATCATCCTCATCATCATCATCATCATCATCATCATCATCATCATCGTTGTCATCCTCATCATCCTCATCAGCAGCATCATCATCATCATCATCATCATCATCATCATCATCCGTCTCCTCCTAATCCTCCTCCGCCGCCGCCTCCTCCGCGTCCACCTCCTCCTCATCCTCCCCCCCCTCTTCCTCATCGTCCTCAAAAATCCTCATCGTCCTCCTCCTCCTTCCTACACTTCCCCGTCCTCCCCCTAATAAGATTAATATTCCTCTTCCTCGTCCGCTTCCTTTTCCGCATCGTCCCCCTCCAGCGCCTCCACCTCCTCCTCCTCCTTTTCCTCCTCCTTCTCCTCAGCATCATCATCATCATCATCATCATCATCATCATCATCATCATCATCATCCTCATCATCCTCATCCTCATCCTCATCCTCATCCTCCTCATCTTCCTTCGTCATTATCTTCTTCCTCCTGCTCATCCCTCTGCTCATCCGCAACCTCCTCGTTCAGTGTACGCAGCTCCCTGCCCTGACCGCGCATCACACGATGAAGTCATTTAGGGGATACAAGTCCGCTAGGGCACCCGTTGGGGGATAGAAACAAACCAGCGCAATGGGAAGGGACGGGTGGAAGGGGTACGATGTCAGATATCGCGCGAATCCACATCGCTTGCCCCCTCCTCCTCCCCCCCCCCCCCCCCGCCCTCTTCTCATAATGCTGGTCGGGAGGGGACGGCGCTCCTCTGGTCGCCGAGCAGGATCCTTCATCTGCTGGCCCTCGGCATCCTCGTCGCTGTCGCCCTGCCAGTCGCGTGCGGAGCCAGACCGCGCGCCCACACTCCGTCTGGTCGTCGCTGTCTATGGATGCCTCCTTCAGACTGCCTTCCTTTCATGCCTGGTCAGAGCATCATGACAATTGCTCGTCGTATTATCGGAGAGACGTAAGACTTGGGTTCGGATGACACGGGTTGGCCTGACGAGGCCGTCATGAAAATCATGGGACCAAATATGAAATGTGACGGGTGTTCCCGCTGCAAGCATCCCACGCAAACTGGACCGTCAAAATCCAGGACGCGCTCGTCCAAGAGCGCTGACAGACCCTAAATCTGGCGTGCTCGAGTCTGACGCTTCCCCTATACTAATGGCTTGATCTCTGGTATGTATGGTATTATGTATATGTGTTATTCGTCGGCGTCCTAGTCCTCCCCCTCCATCACTTATTCATCATCCTCCTCCTCGTCCTCCTCTATCCTCCGTTTCCTCCTCCTCCTCCTCCGCCTCCTCCTCCTCCTCCTCCTCCTCCTCCCCTTCCTCCTCCTCCTCCTCCTCCTCCTCCTCCTCCTCCTCCTCCCCCTCCCCCTCCTCCTCCTCCTCCTCCTCCCCCTCCCCCTCCTCCTCCTCCTCCTCCTCAGCTATCCTCCTCGTCCTCCTCCGCCTCGTCCCCCTCGCCATCCGCCCTCCGCCCTCCTCCTCCCCCCCTCATCTTCATCAGTTTCTTTTTAGTGCGAGTATTCTTATTATTAATATTAGTAGCGTTAGTAACCTTATCTTTAGTATTAGTAATATTACTATTTGTAGTATTATGATTATCATAACTATTAGTATTATTAGTAGTACTACCATTATTATCATTAATATTAATAGTACTAGTAGAATTAGTATTAGTAGCATGGGTATTAATGTTAGTATTAGTATGAGCATTAGCATTAGTAATCGTAGTAGTATTAGTAGTAGTAGTGTTAGTATTAATATTAGTATTAGCATTAACAATAGTAGTAGTATTAATAGTACTAATATGATTGGTAAAGGCATAATTATGACTATTATCATGAGCATTCATGTTATTATTAGCATTAGTATTATGAAAATGAGTAATAGTATTAGTGTTAATAATATTACTACTACTAGTACTACTACTACTACTACTACTACTACTACTACTACTACTACTACTACGACTACTACGACTACTACGACTACTACTACGACTACTACTCCTACTACTACGACTACTACTACTACTACTACTACTACTACTACTACTACTACTACGACTACTACACTACTACTACTACTACTACTACTACTACGACTACTACTACTAATAATAATACCAGTAGTAGTAGTAGTAGTAGTAGTAGTAGTAGTAGTAGCAGTAGTAACAGTAGTAGTAGTAGTAGTAGTAGCAGCAGTAGCAGTAGCAGTAGTAGTAGTAGTAATAATAGTAGTAGTAGTAGTATCAGCATTTTATTGTTATGATGAATAATAATAATCGCGCCGGCCCCAAACCGCCTTCCCCCCGCGGAGCGGCTGCAACCCCGACGCGAGACCGGGGGGCGGCGATGGGCGCAAGCCCAAGGAATTCAAAACTGACCAAAGGAACATCTTTTCACCACGGCAGCGCAGACTCCTGAGGGGGGCGACAGCCCCCGAAAGATGCAGGGAGGCCCAGTTCGTCGAGGCCTACCTGCACGCGCCCTGGCAGCGGCTCCAGCAGAGATAGAATACAGAAGTGGACGGAGGAGAGGAGGAGGAGGAGCCAAAATGACGTCGGGGGCGGCTACGATCGGGGAGCGATAATGTGACGCACATCCAATCGCGCCGGCCCCAAACCGCCTTCCCCCCGCGGAGCGGCTGTAACCCCGACGCGAGACCGGGGGGCGGCGATGGGCGCAAGCCCAAGGAATTCAAAACTGACCAAAGGAACATCTTTTCACCACGGCAGCGCAGACTCCTGAGGGGGGCGACAGCCCCCGAAAGATGCAGGGAGGCCCAGTTCGTCGAGGCCTACCTGCACGTGCCCACACTACCCAACTTCCGCTTGGTGCGGCTAGCCGAGGGTGGGAGTCGAGCAGAGCGAGACACGGGAGGGCCAAAATATTCAAGAATCTGCGCTGGGAGCCGCTGTGATATCTTCTCTGAAAGCTGCAGCTGCTGGCGAGAGAGCGAGGACCGATTGCGAAGCATCCCCGCTGGCTTCGAATAACGCAGCACAGAAGATCGGCTGAGCCACCTCCCTCGAGCCTGGAGCCTGTCAGCATCATCTTTAAACCACCATGCATCATGACTAGGACCAGCATGCCGAAAGGCATGCGGCGTGAGGGGAAGCTTCTCAGAAAATTGGGCTCGGCGAAACTGGCGGCACAGCTGTTCCCATTGTGCGAGAGAGAGGTCGAGGAGAGGACCGGAGGCGGAGGATCGGGCGAGGGTGAGGACGAGCTTGGAGACCCACTCCCTATCATGAGCGCCCACTACTGTCGAAGCATCATACTGGAAATTTTTCGCGGGCACATCCTGCGAGGCTGGCGCAACCGTCACGACGACTGGGTCTCCTGCCCGTCGCGGCAGCGAGACGCGGTCAGCGGCCAGCTGCAGGGCTCCCGTCGGTCGGAGGTAGCAGTCCACAGCAACCCAGGCTGCCGCGGCGGCCACCTTGCCCATGTGCCCGCAGTTGTGGAACCAGAAGTCTGTGCAGAGCCAGATGATCTCCAGCGGCAACGAGTCCCTGACCTTGTCGGGGTTCGCTCGGCCGAAACCGTGGAGCGCAGCACGAGCAAGAGGGAGCGTCGCCGGCGATCGGGCTGGCAGCCCGATGCAGTAGGCCGTGCCGAACACGGCGTACCGGGCGGCGCTCACGCTGTCGCCGCGGAGGAACAGCATGTCGAGGTAGCCGTCGAGGACGCGGTCCCACCCGTCAGCGGTGGCGGGCAGCTGCCCGTGGAGGCCCGCCCAGGCCCGCACGTCAGAGAAGGCCCGGCGGTAAGCCGATGCCGTGGCAGGCCGCACAGCCGCCCGCCGGCAGACGCCCGGCTCGGACCCGTGGTAGCGCTCGCGCGCGGCAGCGCGGCGCCGCCGCTCTCGCCGCTGCTCGTCGGGCTCGGCGATGGGCGGCAAAGGCCTCGAGCTCGACGGTCCAGTGGGCCCCGTCCCAGTGCTCGATCGCGCCCTCCCAGCCGAGCCGACACCTCGACCCGACTGGCGCGAGGTCCACGCGTCGCCCGCTGGGCCAGCTCTCGACGCCCGCCGCGGCTGCCAGGCGTCGCTCCCAGCAGGCGGCGAGGGGAGCCTCCCGCGCCTCGCGCCAGGCTCTCGGCGGGGCGGCATGCCCGAGCACGTCTGCAAGAGCGCGGCACAGCTCAGGAGGATACGCCGCAGCGTAGGCGGTGCGCCACTCCGAGGGCTGGCCCGCCAGTCGGACTTTCCCCTGGAGCCGGACGTGCGGCGCCCCGGGGCACGGGCAGCGCCGCGCGAGCCCCCCGGCGGAGGGCAGGGTGGTGGCGATGGCCGTGGGCTTCCTCCAGGGGGCGCCGAACGCGCACATGTCGAAGACCAGGTGCGCGGCGCCGAGCTTCCTGAGGGCCCGGGCGATCCCTTGGTGCTGGAACAGCCGCGACCGAGCAGGGTTCTCCAGCACCACGTGGACGCCCATGCGGTAGCAGAGCTCCAGGATCCGAACAGTGAAATCGACGCACCTCGTCGAAGGCGGAGAAGCCAACCCAGTAGTCCGGGCCGGTGTCCACCCCGTGCACGGCGTGCCGAGCAGAACGGCCCAGATGGCCCCCGCCCGAATCCACCGCACAACTTCTGTAGCAACTTTGCGATTGAGAAGATCATGATGCCGACCATGGCGCACATCGACAGGAACTGCGACGCGGAGGCCGAGCTCGGCGGCGGCGGCAGTCGCCCGCCCGCACCCGGCAAAGAGCTCCACGACGGCGGGCCGGGCCCGAGCGACGTCAGGGACTCGGCGGCCTCCAGCACGCGCCCGGCCGTCAGGGGGCCCCCGCAGGGTTCCTGACCGCACCGGGCGGCCCATGGGGTCCTGCTGTCGGTCGTGGTCCGCCTCGGGGTCGACGCCGGGGGAGGCAGCCGACGGTCCCAGGACCCTGGGCTCGGCGCCCGCGGCAGCCTCGCGCGGGCTCCGGGGCTCAGGAGCCGACCGCCCCCACTCTGGTCCGACGGCGGCCGCGAGGGGAAGCCCGCGAAGGCCTGCGCCTGAAACGCGCTGGCCAGGGCGCAGCCACCCTTGGTAGGCAAGCCTCGAGTCCTCGTCGGACGGGTTCCTGTCGGTCTCCACGTAGCGCCGGTGCCAGTACAGCCCGCCGGCGAGCTGCGCGGCCGCCGCGCGTCGTACCAGCCCCAGCAGCTCCGCGCCCCGCGCCCGCCCTCGATCAAAGGCGAGGGTCTCCGCGAGGTTGTCCCCGAAGCTGAGGACGTGGTGGCCATGCGAGCTGGGCTGCTCCAGCTCGCGGTGGAGCCCGAGGAGGGCGGCCCGCGCCTCCTTGCAATGGATGGCGGCCTGCCGCCTCCAGCGACCCACCACCAGGCGCCTCCACCGCCTCGGCTCCACGAACGAGTCGGCGACCATGGGGACGAGGCCGGTGACCTCCCGCTGCACGCGCGGCTGCTTGCCGTGGTGCCGGTCGCCCGCGCGAACGACCCCTGGCCGCTCGTCGAGCTCGCGCTGGAGCGCTGAGTCCAGCTCCTCGTCGACCCACTCGGAGAACGAGCCGGGGGCCGGGGGGCCCGCCACCAGGCAGCCGCGCAGCGTCTCCAGGTCGGCTTGGGCCGTCGAGTCCGTCGGCTCCACGAAGCGCCAACGCTCACGCCAGACCGCAGTTGGCCAGAGCTCGGCGGGCGACGCCTCGGCGCAGTGAAGCGCGTACCCCTCCGTCGACGCATCGCTGCAGTAACAGCGGGGCAGCATGGGCGCCGCGACGTCCACGTGCGAGAAGTGCACCAGCCCACGGGCAACCGCCAGCTCGTCCAGCACCGCGGGCGGCAGCCGGACCACGTCGCGA